AATTAAATCATGGCTGACAAGTCATGAGCTGGAGGATGAGCGGGGTCATCTCCAACAGTGACCTCCACCCAAAAGTAAAACCGAGAGAGTTTATAACCAATCTGATTATTGGCTTGTTCTGTTATATTAAAAGCGACGTGTAGTAGACTCAATTATATCTGAGCTAATACAAAAGTATAGATTATTCAATCTAATGATGAAACTGTCTTGATTGTTTGAAGGGATGATAAATGTCCGTGCTCCTTGCCTTTAAGTAGTGTCATCGCTTCTTTACCACCAAAACGTTGACTTTTTTAATATTCACGATAAAACAGAAATGCAATGTGACTTTCGCAAAATAGCACGATTTTGTATGTGCGCAGTCGTGCAGAATTTTGTGTACTTGATAGTACAGTACATACCCCAATACACCTCTCGCCGTAGTGTGAGTTCATTAGAAAATTACGCAAAAGTAAACAACCCAGTTTACTCCTCTCTCGCTACCCTACAAAATCTGCTCCGATAATCATATTTGCAGCAGAAGTCTTCACCGTGACATGGTTCAGCGAGCCTCCAAAAGAAGCGGTCCATGCGTCCGACGATTATTAATCTGTACTCCGAAGACGTTTTTGATGAGAGCGATCGCAGCAGCAGTCATAGTGCTGAATCGGCTCAACCGACCTCACCTGTAGACATATGGGTGTTCACCAAATAGGGTGGCGTTCTTCGCGCTTTGTCTCTCCACTGCACAAATCACGAGCTCAAACGGCAGACGTGTTGCGCTCTTCGGCTCGTTGCTGCTGAGCTGGATTAAATTTTGAGAGCTCAGCTTGCCCACCATCTGCAAGCGCATGAGTTGCATCGTCGCTTATTTTTCGCTTCATGCCATGATTATAGTTACAGCTATTTAAAGTTATTCGTTATGCTGGTTTGGGGCCCTTACTCACTTATGCTTGCGAATCTCCTGCTAACGCCGAGAGAACAACGAGCACCCAAAATTTGCACTACAAGCTCTTTTTGACTTTGTCTGTGTATCTTCCTTGAGGATTGCATCTTGAGAGAAGAGCGCTAACATAAGTCGTACTTCATCCGCGCGATGGGATGGGGAGGCCGCATAGTTTTTTTGTCACACAGCTTTGCAAGCCAGCTTCAGTGAAGCAGACGTCCGACTAGAGCGTCGTTTATTGCTTGACTTTGCAAAGTGCATAGCACGACGCGAATGTCAAAATGAGGTGCCTTCAATTCTTGATAGTAACATCCCTCTCGTTTTTGGTACAACTGTTAAAGCTATCGACCAAGTATCGAATTTGCAAGACGACTGGTCCCCACTATATGTTGAACGTGTGCTGCGACGGACAATTCTGCCTCGTCTCCAGAGAAATGAGAGAAACAAGGAATCGACGCCAGGGCAATCTTGCCAAAGGAGAACTTCATAATGAGGAAATTACATCTTTTTCGTCAAATATCACTGGTGTATCCACCGATTTATATAATGCTCCACGTGGAAGTGGGTCACCCAACTCATCAAGCAGCGCCGGCGGGGGACTATAGCCGAATATGATATATGAAGTCTTTTACAACTATGCCATCGTACTGAGCGGCTTGAGGAACACTATGCGGCTCAAAACTATTAATATTAGAATCAAATGATAGCTGAGTAAACGTGGACGGTAGATGCACTGCTCCATCTACTACAGGACCCACCCATTCGACTGACTCGCTAGAGCGGGGTCGAGATTTGGCTTTATTGATTTTTCGTTGAGCGCAATGTATACTTGCATTTTTCTGAAGATGTAAAACTGCTACTCGATCTCCTTTTCGTTACTATCGCAAATTGGCCAATGCAGCATTCCCATAGCTTAGTCTTAGAGACTACAGATACAACACGTTGTGTAGGTGTATTAGTTGGTGGACAACATTCAACATGAATGTTTGCCCCGATATATTCATGTGTATGTTGCCTTTTTTAGCTTTGCGAGTGCGTCCTGCACTCGGCAAATGACGTTCAAACTCAGTGTTATAAAATTGGTGTTTTTTCAACAAAGCATAGTCTGACCAAAATAAATTAGTGGAACTACAATGTATCGACAAGTCCTCTCCGGCGAAGACTGGAGCCACATTGTTGCGGTATCCATGGAAGTTGAAGCAAGCTATATGTATCAGCATGAATTTCCAATATGCTACTTCTGTCTTCTTCAGAACTAGTGCAATTTGTAGATTGCAACTTTTCTGACTTCTTATTCAAACACTAGTGACTTTACGATATTATTGGATTAATAGTTTGGAACTGCAATTCATTTCGGAACTGTTTATACAAATCGTTTTTTGTATGGTTTATCACCGTTCTGACTTTGAGCCGAACCATGGTTATCGGTATCCTTATTGAGATATATAGTGCCTAGATTTGCACTTTCGTTGATGCTTGCAGCCATACCACACACCATGCCAACCTATACTTTTCTGGGGGCACACAAATCGTGATAAGAAAGTAGAGCATGCTGTTTTGGTGAGTTGATCGAGTAAGGAATGGGCGGCAAGGCGTGTAGCATTTTTAGTTTATCGTTGATATCTGGAGCAAGATGCAACACTTCGCGACTTTCATCTATTTGATATTTTATGACTAAGTATCTGGATCTAGCTTATGTAAAAAATCAAGTTGTAATTCCATTTTTTTATCTTGCTGAAAAGATTTGAGTTTTAATAAAAGATTTTAGTATTTAAAACAATATTTCATATCTTGATTCGCCACTCATATGAAAGAATCATACAACAGAGAAATAAAGCTTTATAGACTTTAAGAATGCAATTCCAGTTTCTCTTCTTTCGGCACCGACTTGCTCGATAATTTGTTTCCTCTGGTCTAACAAATGAGCCGGACGGCATTCCGCACCGCAATCAAGACTAACAGACGATATTGCTATAGTACTGACTTCACTAATAAGCATTTCCACGCGAACAACTTCCAGCAAAGCAGCTTTTTGCTCCACCGAGGCACCAAATGATGGTTCGAATTCGAGGAGACTCCAAGTCATGACGTTAATTATCAACACATGATAAACAATTGCTATAACGAACGTACACCTTCCCTGACGCTATTCATTAATCAAGGCGTGTCACAAAGAGCGAAGTGCCTATTATATCGTCATTGACATTTGCTGTTTAAAAGTTACTCAATGCAAAGTCATAGAGCCGTCAAGTCGTTCCTTTTTTTTTCTGTTGCGATTAAAATGGCTTGTCATCAAAGTGCTTGTCAAAAAAGACTTGAGGATATGTGCTCCAAAGCATTATCACGCAAGCTGCACCTTAAGAAATCCAGAATCTTTTACCCTGCCGTCGAAAGTGTGAGATGTTACAACATCATGACGTTTTAATGCGGAAACAACGCAGCCCATGTCAACCACCTTGTATACACATTTTTCACCTTGAAACGCTCATGTTAATAGGAACTTTGACGATGGTGGTGCTACATTGACCCATCGAAGAAAAGAGTACAATATTTCGATCATTGTCAGAGCCAGACAAACATTTCGCAACACTTGCCCCCCAGTAACTACCAACAATAAACAGTATCATTCGTCGTACCCGTTGGATACAAATGTCCGCACCAACAAAGTGTGCTGACGTAGTACTGAATTGGAAGTAAGCCGAGATTTTTTACTTGTGTTCTTCGCATTTCTTTCTCAATAGTGATGAGGCGAGCCTCATTCGTACGCAATTCACCCATAGAATGTCACGGTTATTGAAAGATGTAATTTCGCCAAATCTCGTTCTCGAGCAGTTGCTTGTTTGCAGCACAACTTTGCTTCGTATGGGATTAGAATCACATTCGAAATGAAAAGTAACATTCTTCTTCACCGTCTAACGCCAATGCTGAGCACTGCTCTTGCAGATTGCTTGATCGTTGTGTCTGATTGAGTTTGGTGTTTATAATTGATCGCAAAAGTGTATTTATGAACATTTCTTATATATTTTGGCTTTCTTTGCTACATGTTGATCAGTTTTACGTGTTGCTGTATTCTATAGCTCGCGAAAACTTTATTAATAGTATTTGCTGGAATTAGACGAAGCTCACATGACCATAGAGGTAATCTGCATTCTCGAATTGGACAGGAAGAGAGATAAATACTAGAAAAGATGCGATTGAGAGACGTGACGCTTCAGCCGACACCTCCTACCCCGCCCGAGATCGAAGGCTACCTAAAAAAATTAAAGCGCAAAACGAAAAGTATTTCCGGTAACTGGAACAAACGTTGGTTCTTTGTAGACCCGAGACGTCGAGAGTTCTGCTATGCAGACAGCAAAAGTAGCGCAATACGAAGTATGCTGGCATGAACCGCATCTTAGTGTTTCATACTTGATAACATTCTAACTTATTGTTGTTGATCCAGGTTCCATCTATCTCGACGATATCACTGCTGTAGTGCAGTTTGATGAAACGCACTTCCAGGTCGAAAGTAGAACGCGCAATTTTTTTCTATGGGGAGAAAGCAAAGCGAGTACCGCATGTTGGGTGTCAAGTCTTGAGAGCTATCGCAAGAAGGTGATCGATTACGAAAAAGATAAAATTGCTTACTCTGCAGCCACAGAGGCGAGGGCTACTGCCGATTTAGCTACAACAGCAAGTGCTGAAAGTGATAAATCACAACGAATGTCTCTAGATTCAAGAAATTCACGGCAATCTGTGAGTTCGACATCCTCTTCTTCCTTAAAAGCAAAGAAGGATGTAGGTGATTCTTCCTCATCTACTAGGTCGTTACCCAAGAATGAGCAGAGACGTGCATCCCCATTAGTCACCAACAATTTACGATCTACCAATGGAACCAAAAGTCGATCCCCTACTTCATCTAGGCCAGGAAAGCAGAATTGCGACCCTCTTCGTGATCGAAAGCGTAATCACGATCGTGACCGGGATTGCACGTACGAGCAAGATCCTAGCAATAATCGTGACCGAATCCGGGATAGAATGCAAGCAAAAAACAGTGATTGCGAACGAAGTCGCACCAGGACCCACCGGGCGCCTAATAGCGGCAGGGCGTCGATCATGCAAGCATGGGCCGATGGTGATGATTAAGCTGTATTTTGTTCCAACTATTCCTTATTTCGCACATAATGAAATTAGCATAAGTAAGGCCTTGTGGGTTTGTCGTCCATATGAAATACTGGATCTCATCATCACAATTCAGATTATCAGTAGCAATTGTGATAAGCTAAATGATAGCTATCTAAATGGGCGTCAATCAAATTTAAAAGAGTACCTTGTATGGGACAAGCGAAATGCTTAAGCATCACTGGGCAATGCTCCAGTCCATCGCGACTTTGACTTAAAGGAAGCCGTGCCAGTGCGAGTTTCGACTGTGTACTCTTGTGCCATTCTGTAATCGCCAAGCTTCGTTTCAATATATCTCACTTCATGATTTCATGTGTTGAGCCTTAACGTTAGTTTTCGCTGGAGCGAACTGGCAGTAAAGTCTGCGGGATTTGCAGACGGTGTGCGACTTGATGTCACATTCTTAACGCAGTGAAAGATCTAGACTGATACGTCGGCGTTTGAATATTCTTCACCGACGCTAATGCAGAAGCTACGGTCTGACCAGTCACTGCAGCGTTATCAATGATGCCGAAAAAGATCCGAAGATAGTTGAGGAAGTGTTGTATACGAGTAATTAAATAATCATAGCTGCCATTAGATGAGTGCGCAAGTATCTCAAATGTCTTTACACCAGGCTGCATCGCCTGTTTAGCGTTGAAGCAAAAATGCATTTAGTAGACATCATTCCTGTCGATGACGTTCACGTTTGTATAAAAGAACCAATTTCAGCATGTTTGATGTTTGAGCTACCGTTTTGATGCGTCTGTGGATGTAAGTAGCAGTGCGCAAGCTGATTGTGCGAATGAAGCTGGTGTTGTGGGATTCTTTACAGGTTGATGTTTTGATGGCTGCACAAATTTTACGTTCAGCATCAAGCTAAAAGATGGATTCTTTACCTATGATGATATCAAAAGAAGCAGTTTAATGGGCCTTGTCAAGGCAGGAGCTTATTTTTCGCCGCAAAACGAAATACCAAATCTGCGGAGCGTGGTAGGCTTTTAGTTGAGTATGACCACACACGATTTGAGTGCCGTGCGATGCATTTGATTCCTCACCTAATTAACTTGTTAGTGTCAAGAAGTCTTTGTCCTTTACCTAATTCCATATCAAAGCCCCATTGTGCATGTTTGTCGTGCAGAACAAGGATGCTCTCAAACACATTGCCCTCCAAAGACCATTCGGACTCTGGTGTTGTCCATATTTGATGTTATACGAGGTGGAAGCCCATTGCTCCGGAAGTTATTGTGAACGACTTTTACCGGGACGATCAAGGTTAGAGTCTGGCTTCAAAGATTAACTTTATGAAGAGATAGCGATTCGACGTATGGACTCTCGCAGGTGAATCGTAAAAAAAGCAGAAACAGAATTCTTGGAATTGGGTAAAACAGCTCGATATAATGTTTAGTTTCTCAACGAATCAAGAAGGTATAGATATTTTAAGAAACGAAGAAATACAAAGCATCGAATGTAAAACATCTGATGATAGCTGGCCTCTGAAATTCATAGTTTTGTAAACGGAGAGAGAATGATCAGCTGACCGAGAGCGAGCAAACGCATATCAAGCCAGATCAATAGGCATGATTTTGAAGACGAAGACTCAAAACACAATGTGATGATGAAAGGATAGTGTTTGAGTATTTCATGTCAATGTTTTGAACTTGTTTGCTAGCAGAGAAAAAAATGACGGCGAGAATAACTTTCAGCTAAAGTGGTCGTTTTCACGACTTCATTATATTAAATTGTAAAAGCATACCAGTCATGATACAGTACGGACTGTCTGATCGTCCTGCGATCATTTTGTCGCGTTCTTAAAAACATGTAAATATGCGGCTATCACGTGGAATTGTCCACCGAAACAGCCGATTGACGACGAACAAGTGGTGAAGCTACTAGAGTTTGAAGCACGCGTGCCGCTGACGGACGTAGACTAGGATCATACTGTAGACATTCGTGTGTCAGCCGGCGAATGATCTCTGGGCATGTGTCAGACACCTTAGGTCTCAGCTTTCCAACCGCCACTTGTTGAACAATCATTGACTCCTCAAGTCCCAGTGTTTGGTATGGAATTTGGTGTGTATCCAATTCAGTAAGCAATACGCCAAGTGAGTAAATGTCAGCTAACTCACTGTAGTCCTCACCCAAGATAATTTCAGGAGCCACCCAGCGAGCAGTTCCTACACCAGCTGTCATAGTTCGTGCAACAGTACGCTCTCGACTTTCACCAAAATCTGACAACTTGGCACCCTTGTTTGAATCCACTAAAATGTTTCGAGACTTAATATCTCGATGAATGAGGGCGGGCTGCAAACTATGTAGGTAGTACACTGCCTCGCAAATTTGCACGCAATAACTCGCCTTGCCATTTTCCCAAGTTAAAATTGAAGACGGGTTGAGGCGCAGTACCGAAAGCAAGTCGCCGGAATCCATGTATTCCATAACTATTTGAATATCTGTAAGTTCATCATCCCAGCATGCACCAATCAGTGAGAGGATGCACCGATGAGACAGCGATGCTAGCAAATTCAGCTCAGATACGAAGTCCTGCACGCTTGTTCCATCCACAGATATTAACTTCTTTACAGCAACTAAGTCTTTACCGTGCAACGCGAGCCACACTTCACCAAAAGCGCCCTTTGCAATTTTACGTGTGTGGTTGAGCTCTTCGCTCGGTATTTTCACCACGTTTGCACTGATGATAGAGCTTTTGACTGGCCGATCACATCCACGGACTGGAACAGTAAATTGCCCACTGCTGCGTCGAGGTTGAGCATCTGACATTTTCTTGCCATGATCAGAGAGACCGGCTAGTAAAATATTGGGCCCTGAGCTACGTCGCTGCTGGGAAAATGCCCGCCCGCGACTACCTGCCCTGTTTCGTGCGGGGTTATCGTTAAGCGAAGGAGGTGAGACGACTCCCACCATGTCAGGTGTATTGGATAAACGATAGCCACGGCTTTTCATGTGATGACGGTAGATAAAGAATCCTGCAACTCCAAACACAAGGATCACAGCTAGCACAACGACAACAATGACCAGAGTACTGGAAGACGAGCCTGCCATAGTTGTTATTAGACAAGATGGGATCCAACATCAATTTGATTTTTGGATGTCAATACTTACTGGAAGATTCACTCGACAAAAAGGCATCGTCAGACACGCAAATGACCGAGTCGAGCAATTCAGTGGCAATACCACTGGAGCATTCGCTGGTTTTGATGCTCAGCGCGCTCTGGGCAGAAAGCTTTCGCAAAAAATTGTGCTGCGTTGATGTTACAGTCAGACTTTGGATGTTGTTTCCGGCAATGTTTCTATAACACTCTTATATGAGTGTGTACATTGTTGCAAATTCGAACACCAAAGTATAATACTCACAGAATATTAAGATTTGTCATGTTGAAGATGACCGGAGGAAACTCAGTCAGTTTGTTGTTCGAAAGGTCTCTAAATAATTGGCAACACTACATCAGAACAATTTGCGTTGGGTATACGTAAGTTTGTTTTGTGATCGGTACGTACAAGGATGTGACGGATGGAAGTGCTACATTAAATGTAGCGATCGCGTTGTCCGTCAAATTCCTGCAGCAATTAAAGATAGATTGTGGACGTTGCATATCAATCACAATATGTAATCGCTCACTTATAGTACGTACAAGGTAGTCAAGCCTTGCAATGCCTCCGAAACGGAGCTGTCAGAATCTGTGATGCTCGTCATGGTATTTTTGTTTAAATTCCTGATCATCATTAGCTCATCAATATCAAATAACAAGATCAAACAAAAGCGCCGACCAAACGTACAGTGTCACAAGATTTCTATTGGCAAGATTGCCTAATTGCGAGGGCAAAGTAGCCAAATTACAATTCTCCATCGTGCTGTAAGGCGCAACAGAAGTTGCATTGTTACTTTCTTCGTTCTCATAAGTAAAACTTCTGCAACTAATCATCAATCAATCATACAGTAAAGATATAGTGGATGGCAGGAATCCTGTGGGTAGAGACCCGAGATCCAGATTTATCAAGATCCTAAGTTATTATACGATAGTATTAGCATTATAAAAACAGAAATATTGCGTTCTTTTCTTACAGTTGTTCTAGCACTTTGGCTGTTGAGAATGTGTTTTGATCAAAAGTGACCGACTTTAAAGACCCCTTTTGCACATTTGTGTCGTCAAAACCTGTAATTTGACTATACCACAGCCAGTAAGAAAGCCATTAGTACTTTCATCTGCAAGCTAGTCTCTTGAGCTAATGATCACAAATACATATTTCTCGTCGCTTCGGCATACTGCATGCCGCTGACTGTGTCGATCTCAGCACTTGGAAAGGCGGCTGCTAAACTTCCACTGGAACTGGATGTCCATGTATCAGACGATGACGGCTCTTTAATAAACACTGTGATTTTTCTCGCTACGGAGTTATAAGCGTCTAGACATTGATATGTACAAGAGGAATTGTATGTGACACAGTCATTGCGCGAAACTTCGCTGCAGCTAGACGACGAGCTGTACTGTACGCATGGATCACCCGTTGAGCATACGTCGCCGCAATTCGTAAGTACAGCTCTTGATGAGGGATTACTACACCAGGAAACGGATGATGAATTAGCGGCTAAAGAGCTGCCCGCTGCCGCAAGTACCAACGATGGAAGAAATAAGCGCATAACGAACTGGCGAATAAAGCAAATATTCGATTGACGAATGTTGTATGAAGGTGAGGAAAGCTGATGGTATTCGAAAATTCTTTAAGGGTTTGTACGGCCAAATATTCCTCAAGGACGCAATTATCGGAACAAAATGCGATCATATATCACATGATTGGATGGCACTATCTTGACATTATATGCTGGCGAGCGTTGGTCATGGGGATATTCGTAGATTATCATAAACAGGTTTAGGTCAGACTGGCCTGATTTTTAGAGCGTTTAATACTAACTCTGTCTACTCCTTAGGAGGAATTAAGCATTGTAATTTGCACCGGCCGCTTTGAAGTATGTAAAGGTCACGTATGAAGTGTGACAGCTGTAGAAGATGATGACTGTTGAGCTATTGCAGTTTACAGAATAGTCACTATAAATAATTACATATGCTTCTTATTTGCTTGCAATGTAGACTCGCGTTTGTATATATTCCTTTCAAATGAAATTCTGTTGAGGCAGACAATAATTTTTTATCAGGTACACATTATCACCTTGAACAAGGAGCACGAAAAAGCTTTCAATGCGTGCATGTCACGCAGCGCGCTGTTACCGTCATGACAGCTGCGAGTCGTCCTGACGCCAAAACAATCTTCATCACATTTCCTCGCCCTATACCACAAACCCTTTTAGCACGTCTTTGGTATAGCCAACACGTCAACACCAAATTGAACTGTCATTGAAATTAGTAATATAGCCACATAGCATACTTATTCGAACTGAAGTAATGTAAAAGTGAAAAAAACTTAAGCTGTTCAAGGCGTATTTATTACGCTCGCTTTATGTAAGTACAACAACTATCCAGTGCCACGAAGGCGTGATCGGACTGCCCGTTATCAAGGTTAATCCCTTCTTTGATGCAAAGCACTGACACCTTTAGAATATTTTGTTTTGACTGCTCTATTCAAAGCTCAATTTATTGTGGAGATGTACTCTACGCAATTGAAATAGCCACTTTAGTAAAAAGATAATCTAGCAGTTTACTACAAAACCTACCGATACCCAGTTTCTCTCTTTTTGCTAGAAGTTACGGTGTCTTACAACTACACGTGAACAGTCTTATCATTGCAGCTGATACAGAATCTTTCGAGAAACTCATTCGATTTTGGACATTGCTAACGCCATCGACATAGCTTTTCCGCCTCTCTAAGCTGCTATCATAAAGTGTCCTATTTTTCATTTTAGGGCGCTTTTTCAGGGGATCCGAACGCTAGGATATACTTGTAAGAGCACAGCCTTAAACTTTGTCGTGCAGCTATATATCATGCGGCAAGAACACATGCCAACAGTTTTCGATACGGTAAAAGTGAGAATGAAGCAGTATTTGATTTTTGTCTTGAGTAACATCCTGTGGGGTCAGTTGACTTTGGAAAGAAAGTCGACCTCAATCATATTTTTCGGATCCAAAAAGATTGACGTCGGCCATTTGTTCATAATGCAAACAATTCCGGTAGCTGTTGTCTAAAACTTCTAATTGCACTAAAGACGGGAAATCTTCGCGAGAGCGATCAGGTTGAAGTGTTCGTTACTCTTCATTTTTTATGCACAACACCTCTTCGCACAACTGTGAAAAAGATCACCCTTGAAGATACTCTGATACGAAAAGATGATCGAACGATAATTGACAAGAACTGTAGTTACGTTCAAGTGAGATTTGCCACAACAGCAGATGCAGTACACGGCGAGTCCGACGAATCCATGAGGAAGCTAACTTTACTATCGCCAAGTTGAGTACCATGATAATTTTTTTCATTTGCCACAGTGAGGTGGAGCTATTTTTACGTAAGCAATGACGGGAACTAAAAATTAGGTTAAAACGATTTGGTCTATACGTCCGAGCACGTCTACTTTATCGACTTCTCTTTCGGTGATAATCAGCCTGTTAGATAGCGCATTCATCAAGCACCAATTTTTGGCGGCAGGTTATATGCCGCGCAAGAAGGAGACATTTGACGCTTTTGTTCGCATGGTCTCGAAGTGGGATACAGCAATTAATTAGAAATGGCTGACATCCCCTATGGTCTAGTAGTAGTTCAAAAATTGCTCGTGGTAATTTGACGTGCGAAAAAGTTTGGAGTCATTACTGAAACAGTTCAGATATTTGACACATGGCATCTGTAAATTTCACCAGCCCAAACATATTTTTATTTCCGGTGTAGGCAATGAAATGAGGCCAAATTCCATGTCTACTGTAAGATATTGGGTATGCCTAAGCCGCTATTTCAAAGCAAAAATGATGTTGTTTTGTAAATGATAAGTAATTTATTTAGTTGCACTTCATAATTTTCATAATTATTGTTGAAGTGGCAGAGCGATTAGCTGCAAATTTGCTGAAGTAGTACACTTCGTCTGATTCCAATGGATCAAAATCATATTCATGTAGGTTCAAATCCTACTTTTGACACTTTGAATGCCAGCATTAACAGCTTTTAGCTTTCATTTTCAAAATTACCAATTTTAAAATAGATTTTAAAAACGAATTAGATATTATTTTACCCTTCAACAATTAAAATAGACGAAAAAGCACTAAAATATCCAATACTTTCAGTATTAGAAAAAAAGATTGTCAGTACATCTCAGAAGAAAAATGCTACAGTTTGTTGCAGGTCAGAATCAGCGCCTCTACAGCTGGGCTTTGGGCGATTAGCTTTAGAATGATGGTAAACGTGCTATTCTTTTTACTCGAAAATTAATAGTACTCTGGTACTAACTGTAACCAGGCTGGACGCATAAATAGTCACTGCAATTTGCAATAGATTAAACAGAAAATCAAAAACGTAAAAAAGTTTGGCCGCACTCTACACCTTTTTGCAGCTAGGCTATGGCTCTGAGCCGGTGGACAGGATTATGGGCTCATATAAAAAGTAATGAATCAGGTTTAGTGAATAAAGTAGGTCTGAACCCACAATAGAGCCATTTCGAGGCAGTCAACAGTTTTTTTCTTGAGTTGCATGCAATCAATCATGAGGCGTGATATTTGTCATCGATAATTTAAAATCCCATTTATGCGACAGACTAGCCTTTCACCAAACTCACTTCAGTACTTTTAAGCTCTGTTCTAAGGCCGTAAAACAATAAAACAATGTATGTGTTCAACTTGTTACTGGTAGAAATGTACTGGATACTTAAAAACATGTAGTTTAAGGTTTAACGTTAAACAGGGTTAGATTTTGCAAAAAAAAAACGACACATTGAAGAAACGACTGTAAAACCTGGTTCCTTAAAAAATAAAAGATGCGTTATCAGTGTTGCCAAATCTGCTTGTTAACCTGTTGTACTTGGTAGCATAAGGTGTAAAAGAAATGACAGACTGATCTCATATTCAATCATTGAGAGAATTCAAGGAAACTGAAGAAACTGCATACTCGAATCTATGGATCTTCCAGCCTGATTCTTACTCTTGCATGCGCACGGCTATGCAATTGAAACCTAAAGCTATCAAGGCGCGCCTAATAGCTTTAGGTTTATCCTATATTTTATTTAAAAGAGACTGCATGCCTTTATGCTTGCGCAAAAAAGGACGGAGAAGACGTGGCATATCTTTCTCAGATTTAGCTTTGACTCTAATGGCTAACTTTTGCCACGAGAGGATAAGATGAGGCATTTGGATAGCATTTCTCCGAAAAGAGTACACTCAGACCTTGTTGCAAGTATATATTCGTGTTATTTTACTGCAACATACACAGTTTGTGAAATTGCAATGCATTTTGATATGCACCGGCCTCCTCATCCTAATCCCGAAAGTAGTCAATAGTTTTTCACCAAGTTTTTGCTTGTAGAAATAAAAGACAGATTACTGGCACGTTAGAAATTCACAATCTCATCTTGCACAAAATTGGCTTTTATATTTATTGTATTTTACTCCGTATACTAACTCTAAACGAGCCTATCTCGTATATTATGATCATTTTTTTATCTCGGTTTGGACGCGACCCCGACAAAAAAAAGTTTTTTTCTGGTGCTGCGCAACCATGACAGTCATGCGCCGACTCTACCTGTATTCCATCCTCCTGATTGGAGTTATTGCGTGGTTTTTGCTTATTTTTATGGCAAGAAGACTCGAAAACCAGGATACAAGCATTCCCATACCTCCCATTTTACCTGCTTCGGATAATCACGCCAGTCCACGAAGAGCTCTCCAACACATTGCTGCACGTGACGACGACAAGACTAATGTTAAAAAGAAAATCAAGGAAGAACGGGTTTTGAGGTCACTGTGGAATGAGATTTTATATAAATTTGCTTGGAAGTCTGAAATTCCGTCTAACTACTTACGTGATAGTCAACACAATTGGGCTTCGAAGCTGAACGAAAAAAATCACATATGGCTTCGTCGATTTGCAAGATTCATCGCGCGTCGAGATATTGGCGACAAAAGAGTATCTCAGCTACTCAAGAATTTTGGAGACACGAATAAAGCTGTGGTAGAACAATTCTTTCGTCTTCGACTTGTCGACGGCTTCAGTGACGTTGCAGACGCAATCTTGGGGAAATTGGCGCGCAATCCGGAGTTCGAAGAGCCTATTTTTTTAACTTACCTCGCCAACAGAGTGCATCCCGCGATTATTTATGACAATTATCTCGATCGCAAAATTTCTATCGATGAAATGTTTGTGAAATAGCTTCGATACATCGATTTGTACAGAGATTTAGATGCGACTGGCTTCAGTGACGATGAAATGTTCCGCTTGATGACGAACAATGGAGTGGATAAAATAAAGATAAAGGTTGTTATCCAAACATTATTTGCACTTATCAAAACGGATCCCTCTCCCTCGGAAAAAAATGTCATGTCAGATATGATATTTTATATGGCCACCAATCAGGCAACATGGGAGAACTTGTTATCCGAAAGTCTGAAGGAAAAAGTGCCTTCTCAGACCGTTTTCTTGGTTCTGCGATTAAATCAGCCTGGTTTTGACTTGAAACTCTTCGAACGATGGATCATGTACGACGAAAAGCGTTACGCCGGTATAACTAACTCAGACTTCAAGCTAAAGATTGAAAAAAAATTTGCAAGCATGATCGACGACATCGCTGATAATAAACTGAAGTATGCGTTCAATTCTTTTCGAGAGGAAATGCCAGCTAGCAGCCGTACTGAAATCGCGAAGCTGTCAGTAGCATTTGTCAAGATGCAAGTAAATCCACGCGACTATTTTTTCAGCCTGCATTTAATCAATCAGATTGATGCCCAGAACATTTATTTCCAGCGATGGCTTTGCTACGCGTTTGTGCTCATAAACCGAGGCGAGTTTACCCGAACAGAGTTGATTGATTTTTTGAGAGAGTTCAAGTCGGAAGCAGAACTCGTGAAGGTGCTCTCTGATTTTAGGACACCTTACTTGATTGAGTACGCGGACAAGATTTTGTTGACCCTAGCATCTTATTCCACAGTTAAGGATGAGGTATACACGGCATGGGAGGTCTCAAACAAATCTCCAGAATATATTTTTAAGCATGTTCTCGAAAAGAAAATTGGTGTAGACGCTGAGTTTATAGCTTGTCTTGGATACATAGAGTTGTGCCGGGTTAAGCACAAAGAGTGGATTTTTAACGAACTCGACTTGTACCTCACACTCAGAGAAAATGAGGTGAATTCAGTTGAGGCAGTGGTCAATACTTTTCATCAGCTTCTTATCAAGAACGATCCCGAGACGAGCGCTGTTGTGAAACGTAGGTGGCGTACTTGTCAACCCAATCTGCAACCTCGGAGTTGGTGGTTAAGGCATGGTTAGAATCCAGGCTAGATCCTCAGTTTGTTTTCGACCTTTGGTGTCATGTGCCTCCCAATTTTGACGATGAATTTTTGGATCTATGGACTCAGTACTATACAACGTTTCGAAAAAAATATAACGAAGCAAGTGATTTTCTCGACTACAACCTCGAAATGTGGTTGATAATTATGCGATCAAAGCCAAAGCTGAGGTCGATCTTGGAAACCCTGCAAGAAGATCTGGTCGTTAAGAAATTTGCAGACATTGCGCTGGAGGGTCTAAACTTTCTTGATAGAGCAGATCAATGGTTAAGTGACGGTAAGAGTCCGGAAGAAGTGTGGACGATTATGTCGCCTGATGTTCAGGTTGATTCCGAAAACAAAATGTTTCGTCGCTGGATCCGCTACGTTAACAAGTGCATGGGTAAAGGTTACACTATTGAACAATGGAATGATTTTGTTTTTGAAAAAAGCAAGAAAAAAGAAATAGAAGTGGTGACGTTATTACGGTCGCTCCTGAATTATGAGGAGACGGGGGTGGCTGCCAAACAATTGCTGTGGGAAATGGCCAGTAATCCTACCGTGTCCTCTAAGGTGTTTGATTTATGGAAGGATCTTGGAGAAGACCCTTACGAATTCTTCGAATTGCTAGATCTTCGTCAGATTTGTTTTAAAACATTTGCTAGGTGGCTCGAGTATTTAGAGGTGAAGAGACCACTTACCAACTTCGAGGAAGAATTTAATGCCATGTGTATGAAGATTTCGGACAGGCGCCAATTAAGTCAGCCAGTGCTACGCATCCTGCTGAAAAAGATTCAGAGTCCTCCGAAGGTAAAGGCCTTTGCAGAAGACTTGCTGCGTGTGAGCAGATCAGATTGATCACAGATCATTCTGATCATCCACCCTTGTAGTCCTTAGGTTGTCAAATAGGGCGGACAGAGAATAAGATTGGAATACTTACGCATTGTCAGATCATTCCTATACATTAGTCAGGAAAAACTTGCTTCATTGTCGTTTTTAAAACAGTTTGCAATGCCAGGTAGCTTTCTACCCATGCAAACAGCTCTTGCTACTGATGGACCATCAGGCGTATATTATATGCTTGGCACAACGGACAAACTCTTCGTGTTGTAAGCTCTAAAAAATGCTGAAACACACTACAATCGTACAATTACGCCTTAAGAATGTATCACTTGATCCACAGGTTATAATAAGCAGATACTCGAAATTGGATCTTAAATTTGTAGAAGTTAGTAAATTCACCTTTTACAATGCGAACAAATTGTCATATCGAGACGAACAGTCCACTGCAAAATGACTTCACACTCATGCTATTGCTTCTGTTGCTCACGACTAAATTGGGAATGTGTCGTTGCATTTAGTTAGTAAAGGTACAACAGTAGAGGCTCTTGCATGAGAGTCCTAACCAGAGAAGTATACGATTGAATGACAAAATTTTTGCGAAGCCGGTGAATCAAAGTTTACGAGTCAAATTAAAAAGTTTGGGTCCTATCTGTTTTGAGATAATGATGAATACATTCAGCTCCAATGTATATCTCAGTGACCAGTAATCCAGACAGTAAATGTCAGCTGACTCTACTTTAGCCTTCACTCGCAACAATTCTAAGTGAGCGACAAATAGCTAGTATTTAAAACGTCGTGATTATCATAAGAAAAGATAACAATACGACAGGGAGATGTAAGCAGTGTGTCGTATTCAGGCCCTTAATGTGCAAAGAATATCCTCTCGGTAGAAAAAATGTGCTTCTTGCATTGATATGGCAGCTTTTTTCTGCCATAGCTTTAACGTCATAGCGCTATCGTCGGACAATTTGAAGGAGATTTTCAAACAGGATGAAGATTCTTGCTTTATGAATTTCGCAACGGCATCATACGTGGAAGTTTTTCTTGCAACAGTGTCGAGCAGTCGTGTAAATATGGGGGGTCACGAGTCGGGTGTCTTGACTTCCGAACATGAATTTGATACCATCACTCGACTTTTCAGCTGAAGACGGTAAAGAACCGATCATGCTTCCAAAAACTAGCCCACTCCGTCAGCAAAGTCCAAGAGAAGATGACCGAGTCATTGATATGTTTCTCTGCCGAGTGAAAATGTTGGACACAAGTCCAAATCACATGTGTGCGATGTGGGCGCGGCACCCACCAACGTGAATCAAACATAGGCCGATTTTGCGATTTCGTGCATTACCAAAGATCAAGAATTAGCTTTTTCGAATTGACCTGTGTCTGATGATGCGGTCGACCCCGAAGACGAGCTAGTAGACGTCAGCTCAACTGCTGTCAACCC